ACATACAGAGTTCAGACATCCATTAATTCTGTGGTCACTACACCCAGGATCCACAGGTGCTCATCTACTGCCTAATCTGACAGCACACTGGCATTATCTACATGGTGCTGGTCTTGCAGACATGCAGAATACAAGGGTTTTGGGGTCACCTCTAGACCCTAAGCTCTTGTATCCATATTTTCAGAAGTGAATCTGTGGGTGATGTCAAAATATCTGTTTTCAGTGGGGTCCGGAGGCCTTATGAATCTGTTCTATAATTGTGTAATAAAGCAGAAAACAACATAGGACAGAAAATCTATTTTGGTTTATCCAGTATCAATACTCAAAAACTGTCCTGATATTTTTTGAGTGCCAAGGGTCACTACTGATATGGATGAATTTGGAAATATAATAAAATAATTAAAGGAATAATTGTAACCATGTGGGTGTAGTCATTTGGAATAATTTTGTGCTCCATTACTGTTAAGACTTACTGCTTTATGTATAATTGTTACTGCTATTTTCTATGCATATTCTCTGGGCACTCACAAATTTCAAGGGGAAATTCTCGCAAATGTGAAGACTCTTGTAGGGTAGTGGTAGCTGTCACATTATACCAAAATCAACAACTAGACTTCCAAATCTCTCCCATATTCTTCTATGGAAATAATATGGAATTGAAAGGGGAGAAAATGCAATCAAGATCTTGATGAAGGGGCCAGGGATATAGCCCATCATGCAGCACCTGCCTGGCAAGCTCAAAGTTCTTAGTTCGAATCCCGGTACTCCTCCTCATGAAAAAAGATCTTGGTGAAGAACTTAAAGGGCGTAGTCGTACTGACAGCATCTACATTTTAAGACAAAAGCTCTGAGTGGCCTGTGAAAAAAGGGCTAGTAGTGGGGGGAAGGTTAGGCAGATTACTGCCAACTGATTCACCTACTCTCCTTAGAGCTACTGCAGATCCTGCCTTAAATGCACAGTTATACGTTTATCCTGGTGAATTTGGATTTTACTGTTATTTGCTTCCAGTGCCTATGGAGACATATGCAACAAATCCCTTTCTCTTGTTGGATGACTTGGTTTCAATATTTTGATGATACCATGCTGGTAGGCCCCAATAAAGAACAGGTGACAGTGACCATTTGCTGACTCATATGAAAGCTAGATCACTCATTAATCCTTCTAAGGAATAAAGACCGGACGCCAGGACAAATGATTCAAGACCCGTTCTTGAGTGTTATAGGTATGAGGCTCAAAACTGAATCTTCAATGTAGCAAAGGGAGTTACTCCATGTTTGGCTTACCACTACCTAAAAAGAAGCCCCATGCTTAGCATGACTGGATACTTGAATAACTCTGTGCTTCACCTAGGCATCTTACTACACTTCATATATGTATATTTAGCAGAAAGTCTAGCAAATTTAACTGGGCACATTTGTGGGAGGAGATCTGAAGAAGAGCAACAGGTTTGTAAAGCCCCAGGACTCTCTTAGACTTACAGAGATATTTGCTACTGATGACTGGGCCTATTTAAACCTATATCAAAGGCAGACAACATCCTCTATATCTGACATCTGGAACAGGCGGTTGTATGAGGTGAACTCCAAAGTTGTTGGTTCAACACTGTCCCTATTGCAGTGCTGGTTGCAACCCATAATGCTTTTCTTTAGGGCTGGCTCTGTCACTGCCAGTGGCTTTCCTAGGTGATATTCCATGTTTCTTGCATCACTACCTTAATGGTTCTCAATGATAGTTTTGGCTTCACTCTTACATGCATGCACCAGCCTGTCAGGGACTACTTGCACGGTTTCTGACCTTGTGACACAATGTCTGGCCTCCTAGGCTTTCCTGTAAATTCTTAGGGGAGGTTTCCATGACCCTATACCTTTGCAGCACATATGACTCCCAACACCATCACTGCATGGAGAATATCAAGGTCTTCCAACAGTGCAAGGTGTACCTGAGCATGCTTGAATTGCAGCTGCATTAACCTCTGATTACCATATTGGCTAAACACAGGTAAGCAAATACATAGGCACTTCTGGAGATACAGGGCGCTTCAGAGCTATGTCTCAAAGGATTCTGCCTTGGAAAGTCTTTGAAAAACTTTTGTATTTTTGCAATTCCAAACTATGTTGATGCTGATAGTTATGCAGAATCCTAAGATACTCTGAAGGTGTTTCTTTTTATTCTTCTGGTACAAAAGCCCCTCTGTGGCCATTCCTTTCTTTACACATGGTCCTTTTCTGGCCAAGCTGTCAATTTTTCAAATCTTTCTGTACTGCTTCCTTTTATTCCTAATTCTTTTATAAATGTGACTAAAAGCATCTAATAATACCTGTGTCACTGCCTGAATGCTTTGCTGCCTTGAAGTCTCCTTCTCCAAATAAGCCTATCCATTCATTTAAGCCTTTCCTCTCAGAAAATCTCAGGGCATGTATGCCATGTTGACAAATTCTTTACCACAATGTAAGTTTGATGAAACTTCCAGAAGTTATAATTTCCATCTCAGCATCACCGAGTGTTTACCTTTCTATCAGTATTCTGGGCTTTTGAAGCACCCTAGAACCTCACATTAAGCAATATTTATAGCATTCTAGGCTTTTCTTTTCCTAGAGGACTTTCCCAAAAACCTCTAAATTTTTCCTTTAAACCAGTTTCAAAAAAATCTTCCACATCACCACATACTTAGAAAATAATGGCAATGACTCCAATCCATGTATCAACTTTCTTGGTTAATTTTCAGTTATTATTTAAAAAAACAGAGATAATCAACTTATAAAGTAAAGAGGTTTATTTTGGCTCCAATTTAGAAGACTTTGTCCATGATTGCTTGACCTTCTCGTTTTAAGCCTACGGCAGCACATTATGATGGAAGATCATGATGGAAGCTCATGGTGGAGCAAAACCGCTGAACTCATATTAAGGAAGTGAAAGAAAGAGACTGGGGTCCCAACGTCCCTCTCAAGGGCATGCCTCCAAGAACCTGAATACCTCTCACGAGACTGTGTCAAATAGTGCCAAGTTGGGAAACAAGTGTTTATCATGCGAGTTTGTGGGGACAATTATAGCACTCACCAACTCCTGCTTTGTGTTCACCTTCATTCTATCAGCCAAGTGGAATTGCTCCATTAATAAATGAGTTTAGCAACAAAATCTACAGTTATGACATATCCTCCCATATCTACTACATACACTAGACTAAAAAGTTGTACTTGGTGATGTGTTCCTCAAAGCTAGAGTATACAAATCTGGAACAGAAAAGTTAAAATCAAATTGGCAGGTATAGAAAGGATTCTGAATCCATTGTTTGACAGTGTATTGCTGAATGCTTTTCAAGCATAAGAGCTGCCTTTTCCCTACCATCTCTGGGCAAGCTGCCACGAAATCTCAGGCAATTTTGGGGGGGTACCAAAGGGAGGAGCAAACTATTCAAGCCCTATCCTGTGCTATCAGCACATTCACCATGGCTTTAATCCCACCCTATAAGAAAAAGCCAAAGCCACTTTTCTTTCTCCACTCTGTTAAGCTATTTTACACATCCTGAGTTTTAGAACCATCCCTTCTCTTCTTTGACGGTGTAATTATGTAATTTCGTCACATTTTCTTAGTAAGTGTATGTCATCAGTATGGACATTTTCTCCACAGTTTTGATGAGATGAGGGCCTATCCTTTATTTGAAGAGTGTCTCCAACAGCTTCTCTCATCACCATTCTCTATAGCACACTTTACAATGGGGACTTCACATCTCTGAAATTTTCTATACAACTATATTAGATATTCTGGGGCCCACGTGTGACCGTTTTTAGTAAGTGACGCAAGTAATGTTCTACCAAACACGAAGCGAAAACTACCAGCTGGCCACTCACTTTTCCACAGAGCGGTGGATCAGCAGGCAAAGAAAGGAGTTTGCATTCCAATGAGACAAACAGATTGTGCTTACCACATAAGACTAAATGTTGTTACTATATAATGTAGACAGGGAGATATATAATTCATTTTGTCAGTATTGTCTTGCAGTTTCTATGCAAAGCAATAATGGTACAACCAGCATAAAATAGCGTTTGATTTCTTCATCATTGTAAGAATCATCTACACTCAAGGTCTTTGTAAGCGGAGGTGAACAAAACAAAGAATCTTGGATTGCTGACTCAAAAAATAATTCTAGGAAGCATCGTCTTACTATTTGTCATCTTTAGGCCTGGACGATGAAAAATAGTATGCTTCCCTCCTTTACCCTTCTAGACTGGAAGTGAACTATACAGCATTCATTGAACACCTTCCATGTGTTAGTTTTAACACCTCAACTCCTCATGCTGACATCATCCATTTCAACATGTATGTTTTCCAAAGGGGTTTAATTATGAAAAAACATCCAAATTCTCCTTTGTCCCTGGCCAATTCAGTTCTACATATTGTTGATATTTGATTTACATGCTTTTGAATAAATGACTGTGAACAGATTGGTAGAAAGTACCCTTAATGGACACTGAAGCACCTCACAGTTGCTAGGGTGCCACCCTACTGGAAAGACACATATCAGTTTTGCCAGCAATGGCAAATTAAAAGAATAGGGTCTGTGTGAGGTTCCATGGTAGCCCAAAGACACAACACCTTAAGAAAAATTGAGAATCATGCTCACTCATTGCACAGAGGGCCTATGAAATATCACTTTCATTTGTAAAGAGGGAAAAAAAGCAATAATAAAATAACAACAAAGAAAAAAATGAAACAACACAAGAACAATAAAAATGCCACAGAGTTTGAAAACAAGACCATAGGAATTAACAATGATTGTTATACTGCATATTGTTATCTTCAAAGTAGTTGCTCAGATTACCTGAGGAAAGAAGGCAAGATTGATCAAACAAATAAAAAGAATGAAAAATAATTTAAATAACATTAGATACAGTACAAAGCTTCCATAAATAAACTCAAGGAACTTTGCATTAAAAGAATAAAGTTCACTTCCCAGCACAAGAGCTCAAAGCACTCCAGGAAGGTTTGTGGAGTTAACCTTTTGTTGACTCTTCCAGCCTTCTCTGTCATCACCAGCATATCTAAACCTTTCAACTTGGTCCATTAACAGCACATCCAAACATTTCTCACCTTGTCCACCACCAGCAAATGGAAACCTTTCCTGCCTTTCTCCATCCCCAGAGGCTGAGGGCACAGCCGCAGTGGGTTTGTCCTTGCTGAGGTCAGATCTCCACTCAAAAGCTCTCAGCTTTGCAGGGCAACTGCTGACTTCCGGGTCCCCAGTGCTCCCAGCATTCCCCGCGGCAAGCAGCGTCAGAAAGGCAGTTGTTTCACCGTTCTAGAAGCTCCGGCCTCAGCCCCACTCCGGCTGTCGAGGTCCTGGCTGCGCATACTTCCCGTCATGTCTGCTGCTGATGAGCGAGACCCGGCCCAAGGAGGACAAGGTGGAGCTGATGAACATGCAAACCTGGACCTCAAAGCCATCTTTGATGTCCTGGTGCCTGTGGTGTGGTCACTTGTGATGGTGGGAGTCATGGGCCTTATTGCTTTTCGTGGGATTATCCGATACCTTGAGAAAGAGGAGGTCCAAGAGGAGGCCCAAACCACCTTCCCCACGGGCTGCGATATAGATTCGGAGGAAGACGAGGATGAAGAGGAAAGTGAGGAGTCAGAAGCAGCAGGTACCAGGGAGCTATTCCGGCTTTTGTTGTCCCGGTTCTGTGCTCTAGGCCTGTCCCTCGTGCGCCGTGCATAGTAAAATGACCTTATCCTGGCCTGGCTCGGTGGTAGGAAGGCACCACCCTGGGAAACCTAAGGAGCTCGGTGGGGAACCTGTGCAGTGGAAGTAGGAAGTAGGCAGTGGGAGGAGAGGGCAGGAGGATAAAGACTCTGCGGAGGAGCCCTGAGGTGGGTGGCAGAGGACCCTGCAGAGAGGGAAGCATCCGGGAAGACAGAAGAATTGGCACTGGAAATCATGGTACAAGGGTGCGAGGTGCCAGTTCATGCCTCACGTCCGGGGAGGCTGGGCCCCACCTAACAAACTCAGAGCTTGTCTGATCTTAAGCAGTGACTGAGTCAGTGCTGTCAAAAATCTTATAGCCCACTGTGCACAAAAGAAGCCATTATCTACATATGTTACAGTTGTGTGAAGAAGAATGTTGCGTTGTACCACTTTGTGTTTAATGAGAGATGCAAGATTCTCAGTGTAGTGTATGAATAGACAGAAAGGGAATGACAGTGTGCAGCAGATGTTCAGGAAGATGCATGGCAGGAAATGAAAGGAGAATCTCAGAGCCAAGGGTATACAAATGCATTCCTAGCTTTTGGTTGTCAGATTTAAAAATGTAAAAGTTAGTAGGATGGACCAGAAAGTGATGCACCTGTACTAGATTAATTGAAAAGTGTAAAATTTATATTTCGAGGGCTTGCGGAACCAAAAAACTAGACTTTTCTTTATGTAAACCAAATTCTTTTTCAAGGAAGTTCTGACCAAAAAAACCTAGCATATGTGATCAGATCAGACTCAGATGATTCTGATCTCTTTTTGCCCCTTGAGTCAAAAATAATCAGTAGCACAAGATGTGAAAAAGAGGGGATAATTCACTGTAATCACTCAGTAGAGGAAATATGAGAACCATGAATGGATTTTATCAGCAAGTAGGAATGGGACTCAGTATTCTTTGTTTCTGTTTGTTTTTTTTTTTAATTTAAAGAGAGTAGTCAATGAGAAACAAACAAAAGAATAGAACAGTAGCAGCATACCAGTATCACAAACATAAACACATCAAAGCAAGAATATACAAAATGATACAGAGTGTCAAGACAAAATAATGCGAATCAGCAGTGCTTGTTACATTTCATATAGCTATCCTCAATTACATTGCTCAGATTACCCTATGTCAGAAAGAAACATTGCTCTAACCATTATAGGGATCGATTGTGCATCTCTAGTGTTTCTTTCTTTCTTACATGAATTTACCCTACATGTTTTTCAGAGTGTAGGATACTGCGTGCTGAAACTGAGCATACATTGGGGTATTTTACCAATGACATCACAGCACCAAAGTCTCTATCTTTACTTGCTAAGGAAGCATTGCTATGTTATTATGACTCTGAATATGAAGCAGACCAAAGTGAGGAGGAAGAAGAAGAGGAAGAGGAAAAAACTGAAGAACCAGGAGAAAAAAAATACCTGTAGTGACAGAGGGAAGCCTTTCTTAGGAATTGAGGTATTGGTTTACACCCGTTAGTATTAATTAACCATTCCTTACATTCTCCTAGTACTAATAACTTTACATTTTCAAATTTCTCCTGTAAAATAAATAAAAAATGACTAAACTTTACTTTAAAAAACAGTTTGATGTTTACAATGTATTTATATATTAGACAAAGGGGAGGTAACCAATATATTCTTTATCCTGTAGCTGCAAGATTACAACAAAGAGGAAATTTAACAGTCTTTGTAGTGGAAACCAGTGGAGAAAGGTCATCAGAAGCAGCATCTAAAGAAACTGGGCCTTGTGCTCAGTGGGTCTTCATCACATGACACACAAATGTAGTCTGTTATAAAAAGAGTGCCTTTGAGAAGGCTGACAGTTGACAGAGTAGGGAAACATTAAGGAGTTCAAGTGGGACACTCCATTATTAATCCAGAAATATTAGCTCAGTTTAGATTCCATAGAGCACTGACACAAAAAGAAACAGTGAGATTATTGTTTATTATTGAATTAGCAGGTACTGTATACACCTCTACTTGTCCCTTACATTCTGAATGACCTTATCTGTGCAGATCTGATAATTTCATTCTTATTTTACATTTGTGAGCACAGAAGACCTGGGAGGTTAAGGGAATATGTACAGTTTAGGTAAGAAAAAGCATGGGCAGAAAGATTTATTTAAAACACTGAGTAGTTTCTCAAAGAAAAGAAAATCGAGCCATTCATAGTGGCCACGAAGAAAGCAGCAAGATTGACTTCACCCCCTTATTGAAACCATTAAATTCTTGAGAACCCTGATATCAAAGGGTGTGTATTAGAAGAAGAAAGGCTTTTTTGTTTTTGTTTTTGTTTTCCTTCCTGGGATGCAGATGTACATAGGATTGACTCAGATTCTGAAAGTCATTAGTGTATGTGAATGATGTAGAAATATTAATTGTCTCTTGTTTTATCCTACAGTTGGAAAGCAAAGAATGAAATGGATGCAGAAAGAAATAATGAATTTGTTCTTCATGAGTTGTGTAGTTTTCAGTGGCCCAGAATTCTAATTTTGTTTCAAAGTCCATCAGACACATCTGACATCTGGCTTTACATTGTCTTCTTAAAGATATGTTGGAGTGAGTTTGTTCATTTAAAATAAAATCCACTTTGAACCATATAACTTGTAGATTTTTATATGTGAATAACACTGACTCAGAGCTCATTTTGTGTCTCTTCTGTTTGGGCCCAAAATGCGTTTCCTTTCTGTATTTGGCCAGTATGTTTTAAATTATTTTATTATAGTCCAAAATAATTTAAAATATAAAATTATGAACAGTTCGTGTAATGAAAGAGTTGGAAGTCTAGGCCCTACTACATTTCATTGGGAAAAAAATTTCTAAATGACCTGGTTTTCCAGAAGATCAGGTGGTACGAATGTGCTACTGTGAATCACTAGCACTAACAGAAGCTTCAAACTTGTTTGGAATGATTTTTAGGTCTTCACCCCAGACCAGCTGAATCAGATTCTTAAGGCAGAGTAGCACTGAGTGTTTTGCAAGTTCTCTGTGTGCTTCTGTACAGAGAAAGCATAGAAAATCACATTTAAGAACAATGGAGAGACACACTTAACTTCACCTATAACCTTATTATTCTTACTTGACTGACTTGGTATGTGCTACGTTTTGGCCCTGAATGAAGATCCATGCATTGAAGGTCCAAAGGTCCATGTATCGAAGGTCCAAACATCCATGTATTGAAGGCCTCATCCCTTTCGTGAGAATGTGCTGGTGGGTAGCGAAAGCTTTAGGACGTCAGGTCTTGTGAAATGTTGTTGGGTCACTGACTGTGTGCAACTCCGAGGCTATGAGGAACCTGGTACCTTCTGCTTTCTCATTGCTTCCTGGCTTCCCTGAGGTAAGGAGCTTCCATGACCACATGCCCATGCCATGATGCACTGTCTCACCACAGGCCCAAAGCAATCGCAACCCTATCATGTACTGAAGCATCTGATACCATGAGCCAAATTACATTTGTCCTGATTTAAGTTGGGCTATCAGGCATATTTTGCCACAGTAACCAAATAAATGCAACAAAACTATTTAGCAAAGTGTTGTTAAAGTTAAACTGAACAAGACAGGCAGGTCTTGAATGTGGAAGAGATGATTTATAGCCTTCTGAAACAACTCAGGAAGAATATGTTCATTTCGCATAGCTGCCATATCCAGTTCCCACAACGTGTCTCTCTTTTATTTATTGAAGGACATCATCAGCGAGATTAAGTGCCCACTGTACTCTAGTATACCTCAGTTTGATTGTATTCACAGTCCCTATTTCAAAATAGAGTCTTAATCAGTCATTCTGGCTGGTATTGCTGCAACATATCTTTTTGGGACACAATCCATAAGCATAAGCTAAGATCAGGTTATGGATGTGTAGAGTATAACAGTGTAGCCAGTGATGTAAGGATCCAAATATTTTGGTACTATGCACATGAAGTTAAGAAATGCATGACATAATCTCTTTATAATGGATTACATATGTATATTTGCAGACATGTGATATATATTTATACTATATAATATATATTTATACATATGCAGGAAGATATATATGAAATATATAAACACTTTATTTAGGTCAGTGGCAAAGTATGGAAAGTGAAAGAATTTAATTAGGTACACAGTGTGACTAAACTCTTTGTAAACTCATAGTTTCATGGGTATGTCTTTGTAGTGTATAATGATTGCTATCATGGGAAGTTGGTGCATGTACATGATGCTTCATAATTCTTTTAAACCTTCTCTCCTGCTTCTGCCTCCCTTCATCTCTCAGACTCTCTCTTTCTCCTCCTCCTCTCTCTCTCTCTATCTCTCTGTATATCTATCTATCATTTATCTATCTTATCCATCTACTATCTATCAATCATCTGTCTTATCAGTCCTCTGTATAATGTTTTGTACATAATGATCACATTCCTTAGAATGACTTAGTGCATAAGCACAGCACTTTAAATTTCCCTTCCCTTTTTTCATCTCACTTACCTGGCCCCTCTGCCCTCCATCTCTTGGTTCCTTTACCATATGCCAAAAATCCATTTCACTACTTCCCTCTATCTTTCATTTTGCACTTTATTTATATACTGACTTTCTCAAAAGAGAAACCATGCAATATTTAAGCTTGTGTGTCTGATTTCCTTCACTTAACATTATGGACTTTAGGTAAAACCGTTTTCCTACAAATAACTCACGTTTATTCTTTGTGGCAGAGTAGTACTCCATTATGTATAAATACCATATATTGCTTTTGAGACACAGTCTCATTTTATGTTCAAGCTGGCCTTGAACTCACTGTGCAGCACAGTCTGGCCTTCACCTCCCCATGATCCTACCTCAGCTTCCCGAGTGTTGGGATTACAGGCATGCAGCACTATGACTGGGAAGTACCATATTTTCATTATTCATTCATGTGTTGATGGCCATATATGGTGTTTCCAAGATCCAGTTATTATGAATTGTGCTTCTAGAAACATTGGTATGGCTGTATCACTGTAATATGTCTTGAATTCCTTCAAGAAGATACCTAGAAGAGGAATAGCTGGGTCAAATGGAATTTCTATTTTTAGTTTTCTGAGGAATATCCCTACTGATTTCCACAGTGGTTGTAGCAGTTCATGCTTTGACCAACAAAGAAGAGTTCTATTTTCATTGCAGCCTATTGAATGCTTGTTATTTTGTCTCTTGAAGGTAGGCGTTGTTTGTTGAATGAGATGAAATCTCAGTGTTGTTTCAATTTTTTTTTCCGGTACCAGCAATCAAACTCACGACCTTGCACTTGCCAGGAAGTTGCTGTGCCACTGAACTAAATCCCCAGCCCAGTTGTTTCAATTTTGCATTGGTTAAATGGACGGAGATGTTGAATATTTTTTCTACATATTGGCCATTTGTGCTTCTTTATCTGAGATGTGCCTATTCTCTTCATATACCCATTTTTGAGTGGGTTGTTAAATTTGGGGATCTATTTTTTCCCTGCTTTATGTATTCTTGACATTAATCCCTGTTAAGAGTAGCTGGTAATTTTTTTCTCATTCTGTAATTGATCTCTTCAGCCTGTTGGTGGTTTACCTTGCTGTGCAGAAGCTTCTTAATTTAATGTGATCCCATTTGATTATTCTTGGTATTACTTCTTTTGCAGGTGGGGTTCTGCACAGAAAGTGTTATCTATGTGCTTTCAAGTTTTTTACCTATTTTGTCTTCCAGTAGAATAAGTGTTTCTGTTTGCATACTTAGTCTTTGATATATTTTGATTTTAGTTTAGTGTGTGATGAGATATAGGTGTAGGTTTAATCTTCAGCATCTGGATAGTCAGTTTTTGCAGTACCATTTTTAAAGAGTCTTTCATCCCACAAAAGTTTTTGACCCCTTTGTCAAAGTTGAGGTAGGTAAGTATGCCTGGAGTTATTTCTGCATCTTTTCTTTGCATCCATTGATCCAAAAGTCTGGTTTTTTTCCTCCCAGTAACATGTTGTTTTTTTTTAAAACTGTAGCTTTGTAGTTGAACTTGAAGGTTGGAGTTATAGTGCTTCCTGCCTTGCCCTAATTGTCCACAGTAACCATTGCCGTTCTGGGCCTGTTCTGATTCATCAGAATTTTGGGATTGTTTTCCTAGCCCTGTGAGGAATACTTTTGGTATTTTTATAGGACTTGCATTATGTCTTTATAATAGTTATGGAAATGTGGTTATTTTTACTATATTGCTTCTGTATATATAGGAACATGGATATCTTTCCATTTTTTGATATCCTCTTTGATCTTCTGTTTTTGAAGTATTGTGCTTTTAATTATAGCAGTCCTTCACTTCCTTGGTGAGGTTGAATCCTAAGTATTTCATTTTTCTTGATGCTATTCTGCAAGGTACTTATTCCCCAATTTCTCTCCTTGTGAGATTGTTGTATAAGAATGGTATTGATGTTTGAGTGTTGACTTTGTATCTCAGTGTATTACTGAGTTTGATTATTCATTCTAAGAGTCTTTTGGTGGAGTTTTGGGGACCTTCCATGTAAAGGATCAAGTTATCTGCAAATAATGATAATGTAACTTCTTCCTTGTCTTGTTCCTGATTTTAGAGGGAAAGGTTTTAACTTCTCTCAATTTAATATGATATTGGTCATTGGTTTGTCACACATGGCTTTTATTAGATTGAGATAAAGACTTTCTATACCCATTTTGTTCAGGGTTTTTTTCATGAATGGATATTGTATTTTGTTAAAGACATGTTTTTCATCTTTTGATATGAAGATGTGATTTTTCTCTTTGCTCCTGTTTATATGGTGTATTAGGTTTATTGATTTGCGTATATTGAAACAGACCTGCATTCCTGGAATGACTCCTCCTTGGTCATGATGTGTGATCTTTTGAGATTGTTATATAGTTCTCTGTCTCTGTCTCTGTCTCTGTCTCTCTCTTTCTCCTATTTGAGTCTTTTTCTGATTTTGGAATTAGGGTAATGCTTCCTTCTAGGAATAACTTCCTGAGTACTGCTTCCTTTTTTTTATTATACACTCTGAGGAGTAGGGATGTTATATCTTCTCTAGAATTTGGCAGTGAATCTTTAAGAACCTGTGTTTTTCTCATGAGAAAAAATGGTTTTTCTCCTTTTATTACTATTTCAAAATTGTTCAGCAGTTGTAGATTATTCAGGATTTTTAAATGTTCTTAGCTCCACTTGGTCAGTTAAAATGTATCTAGGGAACTATCTTTTCCCTCTGAACTTTCCATTTTAATAGAGTACATGTTATCAAAGTAGCTACTACTGATTTTGGGTTTTGGTAAAATCCCTTATGATTCTGCCTTTTTAATTTCTGTTTGCATGGATTGGGTTATCTTCATTCCTGTTTTGGAAAGAGTTGCTAGAAGTTTGAAGTTTGTGTGTGTTTTTTTTTTTATTCTTTCAAAGAAACCACTCTGATTCTTTGATTCTTTGCAGTTTTAGTCTCAATTTCATTAGTTTCCCTTCTGATATGATGATTTAGATTGTTCTTGTTTTTCTAGGACATTAAGGACCATCAACAGATGATT